CATGAGTATGGAGTTTTATATTTTATTCTTGATTAATACCCTTTTATTAGTATAATTATTTGACTAAAAAATTATTAATCAAAAGTAAGGGATAAAAATCCTGACCCATAGTCTACTTTCCTTTATAAAAAAATTAAAATAATAAAAAGAATCAAGTGAGGTTGCCGTCCACCCTCGTGTGGGTGGTTTGGACCTTGCTTATGAACCAAAAATATGTCTTTCTACTTTACTTTTTCTCCTTTTTTTTTTTAATTTGTATCTTTTTCATTTCGTTTTTCAAAAGATAATTGAATTTAATTCACTTTGAAATATAGAAGACTATAAAACCATAAAATTATCTAGTAATATTATTATTTATTTTATTCAAAATTCAAAAGTTATAATATTGATGTAATTAAAAGTCAAAAGTATTAAACAAAATGTTTTTTTTTCTTTTTCTAAAAAAAAAAAAGATCAACAGAATTATAGCTTGTTTAATTGATTTATTCATAATAACATGAATAACTTATTGTTACTTTCTTTTACAAAATTTTGTTTTTAAGAAATAATCAAGTACACTTTATACCTTAAAAAACTAGTATATTTTAGACCTGTTATGTGCTCGTCAAATATCACGTCAACACATGTCATTATGAATTAGTTACTTCGTATTATGTTATAAACTTATCGATTTAGAACAAAGGGACAATATAAGCACTCATATTTGTATGTGTCTCCATTTAACAATTTAGAAAATGAATAAATGACTTTAGAACATTATAAGCATAGAGAATTATAAGAGCTTCATTACTTTGTAGCCCACCCGTGAGTCTTACAAAGTTAAATACCTAAATACACTCAGCAATCAGTGACGGAATCAAGATTTATCGGTAGGGAGTAAAGAAAAAATTTTATTAAGATTATACTAATATTTATAGACTTAATAAAATTAAATATTTTATTTTTTTAAAATCTAAATAGTTACTCTAATAAAATGTAAAGAACTATTAATTTATAACAGAATTAAGTTTAATTTATACACATATCTATTATATTAAAATTAAAATTATTATATTAAAAAAAGGAAAAAAAAAAGCTAGGGGGCCATTGCCCCCCAGCTCTGTCATTGTCAACAATGTTTACTCTGATCGTCTTGCAGGGTTCGAGCACCACATGGGCTCAGGCACGTGCTGAAGCACGTGCCCTTGTTTTTAAATGAGGTATATGTGTTGCATTTTATTATTATTATATTACTCATCACTTCATAGTAAAGTTAAGTGTGGAATTATTATTAGACGGCAAACACGTATATTGCATTATATATACTCATATCATAATTTAGTGATTTTCAGGTAAAAATAAATTATAAATTTTTGCATATTTTCATTTAATATGTTTTGGGGAAGTCATCAATTTTTTACACATGAGTATTGGAAAAGGTACATAGTCATTAAGGTTCCGTTCATTTCGCTGATTCGAGTTTAAAATTTGAGTTTTGCTACAGTAAAAAATTCTCACAAACAATCACTTTTAACTTTTTTACTACAGTAAAAAATTCTCACATAAAATCACATCTCAACTCGAATTAAAAACTCGAATCAACGAATTAAACGGGCCTAAGTTTCTTGTTTATGATTAGAAATTATAATATGACTTTTTTTTCATGGAGTTAGTTGGGGCTTTAATCATGTAGTGCTTTTAATGGATCTTTTAATCAATATGACTTTTATCTGTAAAAATATAGTTTCGGATAGCTCCTATACACAGTAGTTTTACATCTATAAAAAATAAATGCATTATTATATAACAAAGTGAGTCTTATATTGATTTAATTAAACAAAGAATTCTTTCAACTTACCCCAGATGCCCATGTGCAAAATTTTTATTTTTCAAAATATTTAATTTAATGTCAATTTAACATAGCAATTAATGAAAGTGAGGCCGTTGGAAAAAAGGTACAAATTCTTTTTTTTAAAGAAGAAATTAATTTATATTGTGATAGATGAATATTGCTTTTAACCTCCATTTAACTTATGATCAATAAAAGAATTACAACCAATTATTTAACAAAAATGATTTTTTATTAATATCAGGGTGACTTTAAGATAGCTAATTTATTGTTTATAATGCTCTATTAATTCATTGAATCGAGTTTCTTTTAACAATTTCTAATTTTTATTGTGATTAAAAATAATTCTGAAGAAGGTGAAGACAGACTTGTATTGGAGGGATTGGAATGCTTTCTTTCTTCTGTATAAGTGTATATTTTTGCTATCTTCATTAGTTTATTTTTTAGGGAAATTTTATATTATTATTAGAATACACTAAGGCCTTTGTGGTTCATCGTTCAAATTGTAGTGAGTTCGTTTGAATTGTAGAATCTGAATTGTGATGATTTGAATTATGATTCAAACTGGTGTTTAGATATGCAAATAAATTGTAATTTGAATTGTGTTTAGATAGAGTTATAAAAACTATCATTAGAGTTTTACAAAAAAATGTTATAAAATCTCATTATAAACGACATATTTAAATGTGTATGTGAAATTGTTCCTCTCTTCACTATGAACATATAGGAAAAGAAAATACAAAAAAAAAAAATCAACTATTTGAATCACAATTGATAGTTTAAATGATCCCTCTTTATTTTTAAAAATAAATTTAAAATACAAAAAAAAAACGAAATATACCAATTAACACAGTAAAAAATATTATTTGTCACTTTAGTAAAAAATAAATAAGTTTCATTCAATTAATAAGAAAAAAATGAAAGGTTACAATAACAATTAATTATTTAGAATGAAATAAATAAAATAATTGTAAAAAAAAAACAATGGTTAAACTTAAAAAAATTTTGAAAAAGAAAATCAACCATTTAAGTCATAGTTGATAGTTTAAATGGTCTCTCTTCATTTCTAAAACAAATACTAATTTAAATTAATTTGACTTAAATTATTTAGGTATCGTTTAGTTCACAGATTTTAGTTTTAAATTTGAATTTAGATGTGCTTTTATGTGAAAACTTTTCACTGTAATAAAAAAATTAAATGTAACTTTTTGTGAGAACTTTTAACTGTAACAAAATTGAAATTAAAAATTCGAATTGGTAAAATAAATGAGACCTAATTCAAAAGGTTGAACCAACCATAAGGTAAAATGCTTTAATGAAATGAAATGAAAAAAAAAAATCACTTGAATGCTTCTGCTTCGGACGAATGCTTGTTTCCATTCTTGTTGTTTCAATTGATTTTATTTGTTTTGCAGTCAAAAAAAAAAAAAGGAGGAAAATTATTTTGTTTGTTGCGAATCAAGTATGTATGGATCCCACGAAGTTGTAATTACGCCGCATTTGCGGAGGAAGACGTTTGACATTTCTCGAGGAAAAAAACAAAGAGTAAAAGCACGAAAATCAAGAAACTCTGTGGCAATAAAAGAGGAGACTGGAGAGCATCGCAAACACACCAAGAATAAGCCTACACCTGCCTGCTTACTTTTTTTTTTTTTTTTTTATACCTCGTTCATTTAATTTATACAAATTTTAAATTTTAAATTTTTAGAATTTAAAAATTTTTTAAAAAATTTAACATTTAATTTTTTTTGTTATAATTAAAATTTTTTAAAAAATATCAAATCTCAACTCGAATTAAAAATTTAAATCCACAAAACGAATGAGATCTTAGACTTGTACACTGTAATTTTGGCCAAAAATCATCTATAGCCCTATTCATTTCACCGATTCAAGTTTAGAATTCGAATTTTACTACAGTAAAAAGTTTTAAAAAATAATTAAATCTAACTTTTATAATATAATAAAAAACTCTCACATAAAATCACATCTCAACTAAAATTAAAAACTTTATTAATAAACTAAACGAATTAAAAACTTTAAATTAATAAAGTAAACGGAGCTATATGTACTCAATAAACGGAGCTATATGTACTCAATAAGAATATTACATTGTACCTATCTCATGTGGGACATAAAAGAAATAAAACAAACGCGCCAACTGAATTAAAAAGTTAGTTCGCCCGTCGATTTGTCATTATATATGTTCTTGTAAACTTCTAATTCAATCATTCATACAAATTATTCTGTTTCATATATATTGACATATTGCCATAAGTTATTTCAGGGATCAAATATTACGCTTGCCATGTCCTTATGAATTAGGGTTTTTTTTTTTTGTTTTCCTTTTTATTTTGTTGATTATGAATTTGACTTTGATCATGGCAAAAATCCTATGTCTTATATATAACATCTTACATGTAGATTTAGACTCTCAATTAAAAAAAAAAAGTTTGCATTCCGAAGATATTGATCACATTTCCCGATAACGTACATGAAGTAAGACAAAGTGGAAAAAAGGAAAAAAAAAGTAAAAGTTTAAAGAGCCTCTCCAGAAATAAGATCGTTCTTTCTTTAGCCAAAAGCAAAAAATAAGATGAACGGCCCAAACTAAAACTATACATTAACTTTGCGGATTCGAATTTTCAATTTGAGATGAGACGTGACATTTTTAAAAAAAATTTTATTATAACAAAAAAAATTAGATGTGACATTTTCTAAGAACTTTTTACTATAAAAACTTAAAATTCAAATCGATAAAATGAACAATACCTAAATTATCTTAAGATTCTTCTCTCTATGACAAACTAACCAAACTCTCCCCATGATAATCCAACATTACTACTAGCTAAGGCCTAAACCAGCCCTTATAATTAACCAAAAACAATTGTCAAATAACTATCAAACAAACGAAGTTAAAAAATTATGATTTATGATTCTGATTTTTAAAATATAAATTTTTTATGAAAAAAAATAATGTAGCAGACATGGATCCTAAACTATGTAAAACCTTAAAACAAAGTCACTTAAATAAAATAAACACAAGAATTATGATTTATGATTCTGATTTTTAAAATATAAACTTTTATAAAAAAAAATAATAATGTAACAGACATGTGAACGATGATCCTATGACATAGAATCTTAAAACAAACGTCACCTAAATAGAATAGTACTATGTTTGAGTCCCAAAATGGGCGTTGCCTTGTGCAGAGTTCTCGAGGTCTTCAATGGCTCTGTACTCGGTCGTGTCGACGACATTCTCATCGGCGGCGGCGACCAACGTGTCTTGAACATTCTGAGTGGTGTTTCTAGCGGAGTCCCAAGCTTTGTCCGTTGTTTCCTTTGCCATGTGTCCGAGGTTTTCTGCTATCTTTGTAGCTCCTAAGGACCCTTGGCCTTGTCCTCTTGCTTTCCCTTCATAGCCGCTTAATCCCTATAACAATGTGAGTAAAAAAAAAACTAATAATAATAAAAATCATAAAATGACTTCTAACTTCTAAGATATTCAACCAAGGCTAACTCGCCGCTTCAAAAAAAAAAAAAAAAAAAATTATGTTACATATAATTTTTATTTAATTCAATGAAAAGATAATTACAAGTCTTTATTGTTGAAAAAAAAAAAAACCACATGTAGTTCTATTTTTTATTGTCAAATAGAAAACTCAATTTTAATATACATGCAAATTTTAAAATGATCTCACTAGTTATTTGTATTGCTAAATTGAAGAAAATATTTTCCAAACTTAATATATATGTAATCCCTACAATATAAGAAACCGGATATAATTCATTATTTTTCTCCTCGGGAAAAAAATCCACTCTTTTACTAATTTGAAAAGTGTTTTCATGGGTTATAAGAGAATATACGTACAGAAAAAAAAAAAAAAGTGCATAAGATTGAAAATACAGGAGTAAATAGACATTAAGTTTTACCAAAAAAAAAGAAAAAGAACAGAAAAAATAGTGAAGATATACCTCTACGCGTTCATAAGCACCGGAAGAAAAGCAAGTCCTGGAAAAGCTAACAGCACTAGTACTTCTGGAATGGCCTTTAAACAGGGATTTTGATTTTGAAGCACTTAAAAAAGCTCTCTTTGTTAAAAAATCCATATCGTTTGTTATTCAAATCCCTATCTTTTTTCTTTCTTTTTTTTTTTTTTTGGGAGATTATTTGATCCAATTTACAATCGATGTGATCAACTCCTAATAAGTACGCATCGTATATTGTACCCAAAACCCCCAAAAAAAAGTACATACTCTTATCATCTTATGTCCATTTTCTCTTTTGTGTCAGCTGACACGTGATGACAGATATGGACACGTTTGAGCTTCATCGGCACGGTCAGAATGACTACTCAATACTTGTTCACTTGGACTATACTAATTTGCCGACTCTTCAATTTTTCTTTTCTTTCTTTTTTTTTCTTTCCTTGAGGAATTATATTGAATATTGCAAATTAACTTTGATTATAAAAGTTAAAAAAAAAAAATTATTGATTAGGCATTTCCAGGACAAAGAGGCCAAATATTTGAGACAAACATTGCTCCATGGAATATTTATGGATGAGGATCAAATCATTTGTTCAATTTTAGGTCTCTTTCGTTTTGCAGATTCGAGTTGAGATGTGATATTTTTTAAGAATTTTTAACCATAGTAGAAAAAAATAGATGTGACATTTTCTAAGAACTTTTAACTGTAAAAATTTAAAACTAAAAATTCAAATCGGTGAAATAAATGAAGCTTTAATATGTAAAGTTGTATCTACTTTTTAAAAAACTAATATCTATTAAATTAAAACATATCACATTATTTAAAAATTTAACGTATTCTTTATTTGATTTTATTATTTTTTATTAAATAATATAATGAAATGTGATCAGTTAGGGTCCGTTTGGTATAAGGATTAAAATCAGGGTGATTTGAGTCATTTGATTCAGATCCATGATTCATGATTTGAATCATGATTTATAGTGATTAGAACCTTCGTTTGGATGTGTATATACATGATTCTGATTCTAACCTGAAATGTGATTCGAACCAGCGTTTAGTTGTCTTTTTTTTCTGAATTTGAATCATGACCAAAAGCAAGCAACTGGACATTTCTCGGCTGCTGTTGTTGTCATTTTTGCTCTTGTTGTTGTTGTTGTTATGCGTGGTATGTCGTTTGTGGGTTTGGGAGACGTTGTTGGTTATCGGAAACGACAACTGGCAGTCGAACAAAACTTGGGAAACATCTGCATCCTTTACCCATTAATGGTTTGTTCTTTTCTATTTTATGTTTTTGGGTTTCATTTTCCTTGTGCTTGGCTGCTTGCTCTCTTTCCTTCACGTCTTTAACGACTAACGAGATGCATTTATTCACAGCAAAAGGAAGAAACAATATAATAACATCAAACATTCACATTACAATCATACAAAAACAACAAACAACCTTCACAAACCTATTAGCATGGATGAAAAAGTTTCATGGTTTTTACAGTCAAAACAACAACACATGATTCTTCATCCTAGAGACTCGTGGAATATGAAAGTGACATTCCCCAACGGCCAGATGTTGCGGAAAAATGAGGTTTGATGCTCTTTTGGCCAAGAAAGCGATGATGTGATAAGCAAGGTTCTCACCCTTCCTTCAAGGAGCGATTTCTAGACCGTTTCAGCTCCCATAGCGGTAAGCAGCCCTTACAGTGCGAATGTAGAAACAAGGATGACATTGATACTTCTTTCTGGTTCATTGAGATTGATGACAAGCAATTGAAGGCACTTCTTAGCCTCTTCTTCTCATTGTCGTATCCTTGGGAATTGGGGTAGACGGCCTCAGCGGGTTCCATCTGGCATTCGCACCAAAAGGGTTACAGAATTCTCTTCATCTGAGGTTGGTTCCTGAGGCAAAGTAGCTTCCTTCGCAGCTAATAGTAGCTCCAATTCCTACCAATAAGAATCATAGACAATGCAAGAAACAACTTGAAAATACTAGTCACCAAGAAAATCAGTCCCTGCCCCAAATGAACTACTATAGTCTGCAGCAAAAGGCACAACATCCATATGGTGCAGGAAAAGTCAACAAAATGAAAGGAACGCGGGATTTGCAACAGACAACAAGCATGAACACTGCTGGTCAAGAAAAC